GGCTTCAGTTTGGGTTACGGCTCCATGTTCACCAAAATCTGGTGGGTCCACACTGTCTTCACAAAGAAGGAGGAAAAGAAGGAGTGGAGGAAGGTGAGCCTTTCTCCCCGCTGCCTCGGCCTCAAAGCTCCTGGGGATGATGTAGGCTACTGTGCTCCGAAGGCTGCCCCCTGATGTGCGTGTGCTCATGTGTTTGCCAAGACGCTGGAGCCCTGGAAGCTGTATGCCACGGTGGGCCTGCTGGTGGGCATGGACGTCCTCACGCTTGCCGTCTGGCAGATTGTGGATCCCCTGCATCGGACCATTGAGGTGCTGGAGTTGGGAGGCTGAGCGGGACCCCCTGGGGGGTGAGGGCACGGAAGTGGCATGGGTTGTGAAATAACACGAGAGTGCTCCTTTCTAACTTCTGTACCCGAGCTGCTCTTTCCCTCCTTCCTTCCGGGAGGGGCCTCGAGGCCACTGAGTTCATTGAAAGAGAAGATGGGTGTGGTAGGGATCTGGGAAAGATGCCTAGGATTTCCCGATACCTTGGCGGGTGGGGGCGAGGCCCTCGCAGTGTGCTCGCTAAAATGCTCCGGGTTTCCGTATGGAGAGGTTCCTGGCAGGGAGGGGCAGTGTGAACAACCAGAGATGGGGAGGGTGGAGGAGGACAATCATCGTCCCCTTGGCTCTGTGTCTCCCATAGACTTTTGCCAAGGAAGAGCCAAAGGAAGACATCGATGTTTCTATTCTGCCCCAGCTCGAACACTGCAGCTCCAAGAAGATGAACACTTGGCTTGGTGCGTGGGGTGATGGTGGTGGTGGTGATGGTGGTGGGGGCCCTTGATGCAGCCAAGGCAGGGAGGGCCAGTAGGTTTGGAGGGAGAAGGGAAAGGAGAGGGAGACGTATGTGAACCCAGTTTGATGTCCTCTTTTCTGGTGTTGGGTAGATCTTTGCTGAGACTAGGAGAGAGTTGGCTGGTGACGGTGAGGTGTGTGGGGTCCAGATCAGAGATGAAGCAGAACTTTATGTTCAGCAGGACTGGTGGGAATGACCCCATCTGGATCCCCCAACCTGATGCTAGCTCTTCCTGATCAACTCCCCGAAGACCCCTGGGGTTGTAAGGTCGTGGGTTTAGGCACTATTTGTTTTGACCTGTGGCTATAAATGGCAGTGCTACTTTCAGTTTGGAAAGCCATTTTCCCACCTGGAGGGTCAATGGCTGAGACTGGGCGGGTGACCAGGGTAACCCATCTCCGGCGGATCAACAGCCCTTTGCTTGACCGAAAGCTGTTCATGGACATCATGTCCCGGTGTGAAAGTTGGGTCATAATCTGAGAAGGAAGCGGCGAGGCCTTGGGTAAGCTGGGGGGACGTAGCAGTGGAGGTGCGACATGAAATGCAGGGAGAGATGTGCTAGGTCAGAGGGACTGGCTTGGAGAAGAAGCACTCCTCTCTGTGGTGGAGCTATCACAAGAAGTGCCGGTAGGAAAGGGCAAGGAGAAAGGATATGAGTGAAGGAGCTAGGAGATGGTACCGTGTAACCCTTTGCTGCTTGCCTAGGCATTTTCTATGGTTACAAGGGGCTGCTGCTGCTGCTGGGAATCTTTCTTGCTTATGAGACCAAGAGTGTGTCCACTGAGAAGATCAATGACCATCGCGCGGTGGGCATGGCCATCTACAATGTGGCGGTGAGCTGTCTGAACGCCTAGCCTTTTGGGCCTTATGGGCTGACGACAACCACGTGAGCCGGGCTGGGGAGACTCCGGAGATGCATGATCGGTTCCAGGAAAGTCCGGGGAAGTCCTTATTGTCTTAGATTGCAAAGCACTGGAAAGGCTCTACTCCATTCATCTTCCTGCAGCCACCCAGTGTGGTAGACGTTAGTATACCCACTCTGTGGATGAGGACACTGAATACTGAGGCTGTCCGGGGTCCACAGGCTGGGATCTGAATGGAGGTTTCCTGCCTGTTTATTTCATTCCACTCAACTCTCTCCAGTGAGTGTTGAGACCCCTGAATCTTAGGTCTTCCTGCCTTGAGGGCGGGCGGGGTTGACCTAGTGTTGAGCACTGATCTGGGACATTTTATGTAGGATTCTTTTCCATCTCTAGTTGGTTCTGAACTTGGATCCTTTATCAATGAAATGACCACCCAGAAACTGCCCCCCAGATCCTTTCCTGGGGGAATAGATCCCCGGATTGTGTCCGAGCCCGTGGACCTGAGCCTCTCCAAATGCTCGTTCCCTCCAGGTGCTGTGCCTCATCACCGCCCCGGTGACCATGATTCTCTCCAGCCAGCAGGACGCAGCCTTTGCCTTCGCCTCTCTGGCGATCGTCTTCTCCTCCTACATCACTCTGGTAGTGCTCTTCGTGCCCAAGGTGAGGCCCTGAGGTTCGCGCATGCCCTCTCCACTCCCACCTCTGCTTTGTCTCGTCGTCCTAAAACTCCGTTCCTCTGTCCGCTCGTCCTTTGTTTTGGGGTCCAGCTTGCCCCTCTGGTTTTCACCAACCCAAAGGTGGCTCCTTGCTGGCACCAGGGCTGTTCAGCAGCTGCCCCATGCCCCCAAACCATTGCCTCAGATGCGCAGGTTGATCACACGAGGGGAGTGGCAGTCCGAGGCGCAGGACACCATGAAGACAGGGTCCTCGACCAACAACAACGAGGAGGAGAAGTCCCGGCTGCTGGAGAAGGAGAATCGGGAACTGGAAAAGATCATTGCCGAGGTACGTGGGTGCCGTGGGTGCCGGTGAGCTAGGAGTTCAGCTGCTCACGCATGATCCGTTGAGAAGGGAGGTCCGGGGTCTTGGGCGCAGACCCATAAAGAGGTGAGTGGAATAGTGAAAGGGACGATTCCGGGGGGAATTGGTCTCAGATAAAATCTAGTGTTATCCTGATGTGGGGCACGGGTGGGGGCTCTGGACCCTGACTGCACTGTTGATGCAACTTCTGGACAAGGGAGGCTGGCCTCAAGCTGGCTTGGGGGCGGGCAGTAGGTGTGAGCACTTAGTATAGCAACTCACTCCCACGGCAGGTGGGTGGTGGGGAATCCGGGTGGGCACCGCCATGTCTGCTGCACCCAGATTGTAGCTGGAGGTCAGTAGGCTTTGCCAAGAAGTAGATGGTTGATTGGAAGCTGGGGACCCCTACCTCTCACTCTTCCCTCACTTTCTCTTCTTTTATTCTCTCTTCTTTCCCTGATCTCATTTTTTCTTGGTTCACCCTCCTGTTTGATTTTGGCTTCCCCTCCCTTTTATTTATTTTTTAAAAATTATTTTATTTATCTGTTTATTTTCCCCCCTCCCTTTTATTTTCTTCTGTCCATTTGCTCACACATCGCACACCCTCATCTTCCCATGGGGCTCCTCCCTCTGCCTCCTCTCCACTCCCATGACTCCCATCCTCCCACCCGCTCAATTGTTTTCTTCCTCCAGAAAGAGGAGCGAGTCTCCGAACTACGCCATCAGCTCCAGTCTCGCCAGCAGCTCCGTTCCCGGCGCCATCCCGCGACACCCCCGGATCCTTCTGGAGGCCTTCCCAGGGGCCCCTCGGAGCCCCCTGACCGGCTTAGCTGTGATGGGAGTCGGGTTCATTTGCTTTATAAGTGAGGGGGAGGTGTAGGAGAGAGGTCAGGGGGGGAGGGCTAAGGGGGAGGGGAGGGGAGGAGTGGGGAGACTCAGAACGAGCAGGGGGATCCTTATCCCTGTGGGAAGGACGTGCTATCCAGTCCCATCACTTGTAAATACATGTCTCTCTCTGGGCCCCGGGGTTAGCTATGTCGCCAGTGCCCTGGGAAACAGACCTTCCCTCTCATAGGCATTCACTCAATTTCCTATCGCTGCTTCGTGCTTTGCTTTGTAACTTGCTTGAAGACACTCATTCACCGCCTTCTCAGCGGCCTCACTACGTCTTTCTCCTCTCCTAAGGTACTTTTGTCCGGTTACCATGGCAACTTCCAGAGCTTCCAAGCTCTGCTCCCATTCAGTGGGTCTCCGTGCAAGTGCTCTTTCCACCCCAAGGAAAGGGCCTGCAGCCCTGGGACCATCACCCCAGCTTTCTGTCCTGTCGGTCTCTCAGCACACTCCCCAGTTCCCCCCTGACTTGTGCTCATTCTTTGCACCAAGGCTTTTGTCCCCTCTGAGGCTTCTGTGTTTGCTCCAGCCTCCGATGCACATGCATGCTTCCCCTCTTTGCTTCCATTGGGCATACTCATGCGTGTTTTCACATGTGCGCTCTGTGTACCCTCCACACGTGGCTACATGTGCTCTTTGTCCGGTCACGGTTGTGCCCTTATGGATGTTCAGGCAGGCGTGTGCAATTCCTCTACCATACTCAGCCATACCTTCCCTACCTGTACACATCCATGGCTAAGTATTTTGACAGTGTGCTTCCCCACGTACCTTTGGTACCTCGCACACCTTCTCCCCTTTGCACCCCAACATCCCTATGTGTTTCCACTGGAGACAGACACACACCTGCCCTGCACTGTTACGCACTTTCCCCCATTCTCGCTTGGTGGGGCTGCCCACACCCTCTCCTCCTCCCGTTCTTTTCTTGCTGAGAATTCTTTGCTTGCTTCTTTGCACCCACAATCTGTGCGCACAATCGTCCTCTTCCATTTGCGCCCCTCGGATGCGTGTCTTTCTGGGGAGACTGAGAGGGGCATAGCAGGCAGGTTTGGGGAGCTGCTTCCAGTGGAGAGTTGGTGAGAATTCTGAGCAAAGGAAGGCACCCCGGACTGCTGAGATGGACCAATGGACCAATGGACGGATGGGGCAGGGGTCATGTCTCGTTTACCCTGTAGGGTCTCTTGGCAAAGGATCTCCCTGCATCCTCAATAAACCAGTGGACAGTGTGACTCAGCACCTGGTCCTCTCTCACAGTGAGCAGCATCGATCCCGTGAGGTCTGGAAGGAGGGATTCCCTCCTAGTGAATGAAAAGGTGTTGAAATAGAGGGTCAAACTGGAGATCCCCTTGCAGA